CTACCTGTTGTTAGGAAGAGGTCATTTACTATTGTCTAGTAAATGCTTAGTCATGAGACCCTTCAGATGTATATGGTGGGCCAGATGTTTGAAGGATGATTGCTAACATATTTTCCTGGGTAGGGGGTAGGTAGAGATAAAGGAAGTTTCCAAAGTGATCTTTCTATGGTAAAGGAGACTTCCAGGATCCTGGAGGTCTGGCTAATGTCAAGCTAAGGTTACCTTTTACCTCTAGCAAAGTATTAACATTGAAGCAGTTGAGCTCCTAGAGGAATGTTACTCTGCTTGTCTCAAGTACTCTTCAGTGGGCTGTAAGTTATAAGGAAATTTAATTCTTTTCTTTTTCTTTTGTTCTCCACATCAGTATCTATTGCATAGGTCGTAAAATTTGTAAGAACGCCAAGAAACCTTTTGTGTCTGCTGACTCACCCAGAATGGGGGTGGGACAGAGCAGAATCCTCTCTACAGAGACCAAAGCTGAATCCTCCACCTCCTCCTTCTAGAAAGACAGGCTTGAGGCTAAGTGCAGCTACTGCTCATCAGAGCCTTAATGGATGTACCTAGAAGAGGTTGATGCCAACAGGCTGAACCTTTGCAGGAAGAAGCCGCAGTGCAGGGGCTGCTCATCGATTAGCTGCTTAAGTAACAGGACAGGAATTTTGCATTACTCAGCACAAGTTCTGTGATCCAGAGAGCTAACTGAAATGATTTTTCCTCCTTTGGTCAATTTTTTAAAATAAGATTTTATTTATTTATGAGAGAGAGAGGAGAGAGAGAGAGACAGAGAGAGAGAGAAAGAGAAAGGCAGAGCCCTAGGCAGAGGGAGCCCAATGCTGGACTCATCCCTGGACCTGGGATCCTGCGCTGAGCTGAAGGCAGATGCTCAACCGCTGAGCCCCCCAGGTGCCCCTAATATATTTGATATGTAATTTACCCAAACAGCACCTTGGGACAGCTGCAGAATAGGAAGAAAGAAACACAGCACTTGAGTTCACATCTTTACATTGACGCTATGGGGTTTGGGGAAGTTACTGGAGTCTTGGTTTTGCCATCTGTAATGGATGTTATAAAACCTTAAGGTTATTGTGAGAGCTAAATAAGATAATGCTTAAGTATCTCCTACAGGTCTTGCAGACCCTCAATAAATACACGTGTTCTTTTAAAAAATATTAGAATTTTGTTTTTCAGATTCCAAAAGTAGAATCATTATAGAAAATTTAGATGGGGCACCTCTGTGGCTCAGCAGTTGAGCATCTGCCTTTGGCCCAGGGCGTGATCCTGGAGTCCCGGGATCGAGTCCCACATCGGGCTCCCAGTAGGGAGCCTGTTTCTCCCTTGGCCTGTGTCTCTGCCTCTCTCTCTGTGTCTCTCATGAATAAACAAAGTCTTAAAAAAAAAAAAAAAAAGAAAAGAAAAGAAAATTTAGATGACATAGCAGTGTATAGAAAGGAAATTAAAATAATCTCATAAACTTCTTCCTGTAGACAAGTTTCCCCAGCCAGTAACTCCTATCTTAGAAACTAAAACACAGCTGGATGTATTTCCTTTAGTCTTTTGTGTGTGTGCAGACATACATATTTTTTTTCAGATTTTTAAAATTTAAATTCAATTTGCCAACATATAGTGTAACACCCAGAGCTCATCTCAAGTGCCCTTCTTAGACAGACATGCATATTTTAAAAAGAAAGGAATCCCATTATATAACAATTTTGCAACCTGCTTTACTTTACATAGACATGTCCCCATTTTTAAATATTTTTCAAAGTCGTGGTTCTCTTTCTGTTTTTTTTTTTTTTTTTTTTTTTTTTAAGATTTTATTTATTTATTCATGAGAGACACACAGAGTCAGGCAGAGGGAGAAGCAGGCTCCCTGCAGGGAGCCCGATATGGGACTCGATCCCAGGACCCCAGGATCATGACCTGAGCCAAAGGCAGATGCTCAACCATTGAGCCACTCAGGGGCCCCAAAGTTGTGGTTTTCATGGTTATACAGCATCCCAGGTACATTTATACTTATTTAACCCTATTGTTGGATCTTGAAGTTGTATTCAGGTTTTAGCTACTCTTAAGATTGCTGCATCAAATATCTTTATATCTGAATCTTTGTAATGATCTTTTGTTACTTTGTTAGGATAAATTCTCCTGGGATAGGATGTTGGGTCAAGAAAAACACATGGAAGGCCGCTGGTGCACACTGCCGATTTGCTTCCCCCAAAGGCTGTGGAAGTTACGTTCCTGTCAACAGTGACCCAGGGTGCCCACATGCCTCATCTTGCCAATGCTGTGTTGTGTTGTTTAATATTTTTGATCTGCTTTGTCTATTATCTTTCAGATTGTGTCCTCCTTGAGCAGGCGCTGGGGACATCTGCCTCTCTACATCCACCCCAGAACTTTGCTTGGTATCACTCCCATAGATAGCCTTTGTAAATAATTGCCAAATGAATGGATTCCTATCCACAATGATCCCTCTGGGGTTAAGAGCTGGAGAAGATACTTGAACAATCACTTCCAAGTTGGTCAAATTGAGAGAGAGATTTATATACTCGCACTTGGTCTCCCGTGGAGATGACTTGCATAGAAACATTAAATCACAGGTAATTGGTTCATTTTCAGAGGACCTGGATAAGGGCATGGAGTCCGAGAGAGAAAACGAGGTGTGTTTCAGGTCAGTTCTGCGGCACTTTCTGTGCTATTGGTCCTTCCTACATAACAAAAGCAGGATCTGCTTTTGTAACCCAGCCATGGAGCAAAGCAGAGTGGAACTTTCCAGAGCTTCCTCTTTCTGGATGTTGGCATAATCACAGCTTCGCCCTCTGGGAGCCATTGGGCTGCAGCTCTTGAAGCCTAGACGGCTGCTTTGGGAGGTCAGATTGTGAGGTCTGTTGTTTATATTGGCATGAGGAGCCATGCAGGGTTTTGAACCATAAATACTGCTTTTATTTTCCTTGTACTAACTCACAACTTTGTTTTGAGCAATGGGGCTAACATACGGTGTGTTTTTCTCCCCTTCTCCACCAGCTCCAACATGCTCACACATACCCAGATGATTCCTTGGCATCGGGTACTATTCTGAATGTCAGAATCTGGGGTCATCTTCTGGGAATAACACCTTGCATTAGAACTTTTTGTGATCTACATACCCACTCTGAATATGAAATGAAACTTCTGCCTTAACTCCAGAATCTCTCCTGGGCTAGTTCTCTGTTCTCAGGTAAAGAGGTTTAGAGTGTGAAAGCTTGCTGTGGACCTAGGGACATCTGAGCCCACTGTAACATCCAAGTGTTACAATTTCATTTGCTCATTTGTTAATTGACACCAATTTTATAATACTTGGTAAACACATTTACCCCAGGAGGCAGGTGGTGTGAACTAATGGGGTACACCTGGGTTGATATACATCCTGTACTCAGTTTGCTTGACTGTGATGGGTCAGTTTCTTCTCCATTCCCTGTACCTGTCAGAAGTTATCTTTCAGAAGACTTCCCTTAGAATTAAGAATCGGGGGCACCTGGGTGGCTCGGCGGTTGAGCAACCGTCTTTGGCTCAGGGCATGATCCCGGGGTCCTGGGATTGAGTCCTGCATTGGGCTCCCCGCAGGGAGCCTGCTTCTCCCTCTGCCTGTGTGTCTGCCTCTCTGTGTGTCTCTCGTGAATAAGTAAGATCTTAAAAAAAAAAAAAAAAAGAATTAAGAATCATCACTGTGGCAGACACAGTAGATCGGTCAACTCCTAATGTGCGGAGGTTGGAGAATGTGAAACTCTTATATCCCAGGCTCCCTTGAAGTTGAGGCTCTGATGTAACAAGTTCTGCTCATTAGATCTACTTCCTTGAGCCTCGGATGGAGAGCCAAGGTCTGTGTGCAAAGGGGCAGGGAAATGGGCATCTGGGTCATGTGCTTCTGGAGCTGCTGGTGGCAGCAAGGGCTTCCCAGTTCAGCAGACCGCTTCTGGAGCCAGCAGGCCCCTCGGCAGCCCGGTTCTGTGATGTGGCATCCTGGGGGTCAGTTTCTTCAGCTAGCCAACCCCCTTCCAGTTTATATCTTATAATAAATCCCTTTTTGTAAACCTGATATAACCCTGTAGCTGCAAAGCTGTGGGTTGTCTCACCTCGTTCATTTCTTGGCTGAGACAAAATAAAATGGTTGGAATTTTATCTTCCACCTTGATTTTATTACAGGCTTCTTTTCCTCAAAGCTAGATTTTGACTACCCTGTTCCCTGTTCCCTTTTGCATGCTTTTCCTTGTGATGATGGATGACTTTGTACTAAACTTTTTCCCCAGAATTATCTTGACGTGTCCAATCATAAGAACAACTGTTTCCATCTTCACTGACTTATTTAATTGGAACAATTTCATGATCCAATTCATACATCATCTTTCCATAAAGATAGAGCATCGTTATTAATAACTATATAGCACATAATGCACATAAGCCAAAACTTGTAATAGGCACAGACAGGGCTGGGAGAAACATTCTGCTGCTTTTTAAGATGTTAGTACCGGCACTTCATTTTCGACAGAAAAGGACTACCCCATTCTGTAAGTAGTACTAGCCTATTTCCTGTCACCTCAATACTGCCATGACATCTTGTGACAACTCAACGTATGTTAATGTACTGTTGTTACTGAAGCATCACACCAGACTCTGCTTTTTTGATGGTCATTCTAGGACTTATTTTTACCTGAGAGTTTGCTGAAACTGCATGAAAATTTGACTCTCACATCTCAGGTGTCCAAAGAGCTTGCTGGAAAGCCTCTGACTTAACTAGACAAGACAGTGCTCAGTAATTATTAAATTAGGATATAGTCTTGTAGTGCCATCTCTCAATCCTCGGGCTTGGGCCCCTCAGCTAGACACAGCTACAGGGCAGATCAATCAGAGAAGTCAGACTCCCAGCCTGTATGGAGAGGCTGTCCCACTTTGCCAGTTCTAAGGCATGCAGGCTCTTCAGGAATGAAGCAGGGACCAAGCATTTCTGAAGAAGGAACAAACATTCCATCTCAAGTGAGGAACTAAAAAAGAAATTTGTTTATTGAGGGTAAGAGGATGCAATAAGCAATATAAAAATCAAAAGCTTATCTGGCTTTCTTTTACAGACTTTTCTTTCTCTGCTTCTCAAATGGGGGTTGGATTTTATTTGTACATTTTCTGAGGGTCCTGATCTGCTCATGGAATCCTTTATACAGGGGGAAGCTGTGGGACAGATTCCTTGAGACCCTTTGGGACACCTCACTCCGGGCGGAGTGTTGCTCAATGGTGCCTATTTCTTGCCCTTCTGCTTCATGTGTATTACAAAATAGTCATTGCATGCAATGGTGAGCCCAGCAATTAGTGAAAAGAAGCTCTGGAAGCCCACTTTGCCATCTCGGCACTGGTCGAGGTCCTTCATTATTTTGTCCACGGCCAGAGGGTCTTTTTGATTCTGAAAAAAAAAAAAAGAACAAAGGTAAGAAGTATCAGTCAATGGTTACTTTGACAAGCTTCTCTGATTTACTGACAGCCATTAATATAATCTTCCAATTATCTGAACTCGTTTTAGTTGTAAGTGATCTTTAGAGGTTACCTAAATGTACTTTTCTGCCTTGAGAGAGGATTTCAGTAAATTCATATATTAAGCCAGGAAAAAGTTTCTGTGGTCCTTTCATATAATCATTGGGATCTTAGGAACTGCCTATTTCTAAAAAGAGGAGATTCATGTCAGAGAAGCCAGACCTGGCCGCCTAATTCTCAGTTCACTGTGTCTCCCACTGTGAACCTGGCATGACCCGCTCACTTGTGTGGCTTCTAGTTCAGGGGTTTCCACAATTTTAAAAAATCACAGGCCTCTGCCTAAGAACCACCCTAAACTCCCCATTTTGTAGTGTCAGCCAACATTCTCTTAACAAGCACCTATTTCTGATAGTGTGGTCAAATCCTCGGAAAAGGAAACTCCTTAAGAAAAGATCTAGTAAGATAATTTAGGGCATAAGTTTCAGATCCCTCCTTTTCCTAGGAAGGACGGTAAGAAGCGGGAAGAGTGGTTGCTCCTACAGGGCCCAGACCATTGGCCAGGGAGGGAAATGTGGGCCTCTGGAGGTGCTAACGTGTTCAGGCAAAGTCTCTAATGCCACTGCTTGTGTCTGTGAGGGAGGGAGCTCACACCCAGTGAGTTTGTGTGTCTCAGGTGTGCTGGATGTTTCCATACTGCACCCCAAAGCCCCTGATGACAAAGCAGCAGCATTTCCTACTTGAGTACCATAAGCTCCACCTGAAGCCATCACCTACAGCCCACTGTGTGGCTGCCTCCACTTCAGGTGGGCTTCCGTTAATTCTGGCTTCACTGCCAACTTCCTGCCTGTGGTCAGAAGTGAAATTTGAATAACACAGGGGGTCAGCTTTAGAAACAGAATGCTGTCAGTGTAGCAAGTGTGGGTGTGGAATTACGGAATTGTGACCCACAGCGAGGATAAATTACATTGCCATGCTTGGTGCTCCGTTCTACACACACTCTTTATGTTTCTCATGCCATGAAGTCTTCAGGGGGAAAGGCCTCATGTTATATTCATCCTGGCTTCTACTTTCATACAACAGCACAATTAACCAGGGTTTAGTACATGGAGAATGTGTTTGTGTGATGGGCAGGCCCATAATGAATACATGCCTCTGCATTTTATGCTCCTAGAAGGATCACAGCAAGTGGAAGAGTGGAGGTAATCATGTCCAGCCCTCTCATTACAGGGGCAGGAACTGAGGCCCTGAAAGCCAAAGCAATCTGCCCAGTGTTAGGGCAAAGCTAGATCTTAAACCTCCTGGTCTGGGGCTGTATCAGAGGATGTACAAAAGCAGAGCAACCACATATTCTAACTCCTTCTCGGATAGCATTGTGGTAACTGCAGCTGTAAGACCAGAGCGAGGCTGTCTGTATTTGTTTACTCAACTGGTATTGGTGACATGTGAATCAGAGTGTACTGTAAAACCCCGTGTTTACTAAGTTGGGAGTCAGAGGCTTGACTAAAGTGCTAACCAGCAGGCAGATGACAAGAGACAGGACTAGCCTTTTACCATCATCTCCCTTCACCCTGTTAGAGGCTAATGCAGTTTCTATACCACACACAGTAATGATCCTTTTAAATGACCCTGGTAGTAGCAGGGAAAGAGGGGCTCACATTTCACGCTGTTTGTCAAGCAGTGTTTCACCTTCAGTTAAATCCAACAACCATGTCCTGAAGTTGTCCAGTAAAAGGACAACTGTGCCTTGTGGGCTAATGTCCTGAGTGAGGTGTCTGAACTGAGGGCAGGGTCCCCTCCTAGCCCTAATGGGTCCCTCGGTTTGTGGGACTCAGGCTAAGCTCCTGAATTCTCACTGCATTTTCAATGTGGAAAGCAGTTCTTTCTGGAGTCATGCTTGGGTCTCATTCAGCGGATGCTCGACACCTTTCCTTTATAGATTACAGTAGGAAGGATATTTTTAAAAAGCCTTTATCTGAAGGGATTTAAGAAGAGATGCAAGTTGCTCAAAGTGGATGTGGCCATGATATGGCATCTCCAATGCCAGGTTCATGACCCGAGGTAGCCACGTCCTGGTTGATGATTCTTTGGCAAGAGGCCTTTCTTCTTTGTCTCTGTCTCAATGGATGCAGGTAACTCCAGCTTGTCTTGTGGTTGTGTGCAGCCTTATTTCACTGCCAAACTATAAGCTCCTTGAGGGCAGGGACTTCTCTACCATCTGCTTCCTGTACGATATCTTAGAAACAGTAGGCACTCAATAATGTCTAATAGATAAATGAACAAAGACACCTTTCTGCTAGTGGCCTCTAGAAGGAAGGGATGGAAGTCAAAAGGAAAAGCAACCAGGCCATACAAGCTCTGGTTTTCATGTCTGGTTCTCTCTGGGCCTCTCAGCACTTACTTCCAAAAATCCTGGGAATTCCTTTTCCATGAGTACTCTCAGGTCTTCCTTTGTCAAGTATCCTTTATCCCCAGCAAACTTGTGAAACGTGAACATCATGGTTTCCATGGCATGTTCCATTTGAGATGGCATCTTGGTGAGGTCTGTTGAAACCTTTTAAAAGACATAAAGAAAGAGTTTATGGAACTTTTAAGCCACACGTATTGCCAGTCTTCTGTGTGTAAATGGAAGGGAAATGATTAGGTCACTCATGTAACCCTTTCTGGCTCTAAAGTCCAATGAATTGAAGGTGAGACCCAGTTCGCCCCAGGTGTTGGGCCTGCTGCTGATGGAAATGGGTGCCTCAGGTATTTGTGCTGACCTTCTAGGAATATGTCTAGCTGCCCACTCATTCTGCATAAATCACCTAATGAGGAATAAAAACTCTAATCACTTGGTCAGTGTCCCTCTTCTTAACTGACAGAGCATCTACTGAAAGAGGAGAGGTTTCATCTTTTCTCTTGGCATGGGTAAATGGGGCTCTTAGATGTCTCTGAATACCAACAACCCACACAGTCACGCCTGGTTAATATTGAAAACTTCAACCCTCCAAGCTTAACTAGGTAACCTGATTCATTGTAAGTCTAGGTTTAGAAATCTGCTAACAGGGTGCCTGGGTGGCACAGTTGGTTGAATGTCTAATTCTTGGTTTTGGCTCAGGTTGTGATCTCAGGGTCGTGAGATTGAGTACAGCTCAACACGGAGTCGTCTTAACATTCTCTCTCCCTCCACAACACCCCCCATACCAGGCACATACTCTCTCTCTCTAGAAGGAAAAAAAGAAAAATAGAAACCAGCTTACAAATGAATTTTGTCTGCTGGGTGTGTATTCTTTACTAAAGGTCTGAACCTGTTATTGATTGCAATGCAGACATCTGCATCTTTGGTAGTAAAATGCAGTTTCTCAAAGCTACCCACAGCTCATGATCTAGTTTCTTGAAAAGGAACAAGTAACGGTATATCCTAACTCCTTTGGGGACCTGGTTTTTGGCAGGAAGGACAGAAGAGCCACTCAGTCTGAGGCACAGCGGGAGAGCAAGAACTTTCCATAAGAATCTGTCTAAAAGGAGGGAAAGGGGGGATCCCTGGGTGGCTCAGCAGTTTAGCGCCTGCCTTCGGCCCAGGGTGTGATCCTGGAGTCCCTAGATCGAGTCCCACATCGGGTTCCCTGCATGGAGCCTGTTCCTCCCTCTGCCTGGGTCTCTGCTTCTCTCTCTCTCTCTCTGTATCTCTCATGAATGAATAAATAAAATCTTTTGTTTAAAAAAAAAGGAGGGAAAGGAAACGTGTCAGATCATTATATTCAGGTGTAATGATCTGCAGGCATGTATCATATTGAGACCCAGTGCCTGATACTTAATAGGAGCTCACTAGATCATGGCTTGATTGGAAGGAAGCTTTGGTCAGAGCACAGTTTTGGCTAACATCACTTAAGATCACATTAGTGGAGAGAAATCAGGTGAACTTGAATGGAGACTGTAGCATACCATTCCAAGAACAAACAAAAAACAAAAGCCCCCCAAACCCTGCCTCTCAAGAATAGGTTTTGAGCACAGACTGAAGGAGAGGCTGGCACTTTCCCCTCTGCTGTAAGAGTGCCAAAAGAAAGCAGAAACAGGTTTTGGGTCTGGTTCCTGCTACTGACATATCTGTGTTCAACACAGATTTCTAAATGCTAGCTTTTACAGTGTAGAAGGTGGCGCTAGTTGGTGACCACGGAGATTGAGCAATTATACTTACGAACTGTGAATTCTACCCCCTTAATCCCCAGAAAAGTGCAGGAACCAGCATGCCAAAAAATGTGCTACTCTAGAGAATGCTACTTGCCAGAATCTGGTATGATTCATCTGGAAGGCAGTTCTCTTGGAGACATCAGCAAATTAATGCTTCAAGGTCCACTGTGAGATGAATTCCAGGGGAGCCACACCCTTTCCCTCCTTTCCTACACAGCCCGTGTGTGTGTGTGTGTGTGTGTGTGTGTGTGTGTGTCTGTGTGTTTAAAGACTTATTTATCTTAGGCGGGGGAGGGGGAGAGGGAGAGAGAGAATCCCAAGCAGACTTCCCACTGAGCAGTGTTCAGAGCCAGAAGAGAGGAGAGGGGCTGGATTGCATGGCCTTGAGATCATGACTTAAGCTGAAATCAAGAGTCAGATGCTTAACCAACTGACCGACCCACCCAGGTCCTCCAGCCCATGTGGTTTTAGATGGCAACCCACAGTGCTTAGATGGAGTTGCCCTTACCTGGATGGTTCTGGAAGTCCAACAATTTAAGAGAACTGAACTGAACGAGTCACCTATGAGAAAAAGATATGGGATCCCACCATAGTTCTGAAACAGCTCAGGAAAAGAGTCAGTAACCAGAGGTATAAAAATACCTGTGTCTAAGCTCAGAGAGGTGGAGTACTTCACAACCAATGCCCAAAGATCCCCAAAATTGGTACTGGCTGCCAGACACCCATTTCCCCCAATTCACAGAGCAGAAGGAAAGTGCACCTCAAAGCCAAAGAAGAAAGAGGACACAGCAGGGAAAGGAATCCTGTAACAGGAGAACAGGCTCATTTAGGAACTTCTAAGAAATAGAAGTTATGGGGCGCCTGGATGGCTCAACTGGTTAAGCATCTGCCTTTGGCTCAGGTCATGATCCTAGGATGGAGTCCTGTGTCAGGCTCCGTGCATCGGGAGTCTGCTTCCCCCTCTGCCTCTGCTGCTCCCCTGCTTGTGCTCTATCAAATGAATAAATAAAATCTCAAAAAAAGAAAAAAGAAATAGAAGTTGTAAGCAGGAAACCTTGACCACCCTTGAATATCTTCTTCAAGAGAGTGAGGTCAGTCTCAACTGAGTGAACGCTCAGGTCTCAGGTCATTCCAATCCCACCCCTCCTTGTCCACATTCATTATGAAGCTTTTCTCTCTGAAGCCACATGCCTGCCCCCCACTGGGTCCCCATCTCCTCCCCACTCTGTTTTAACAAATGGGCCATAAGTGCAGCAGCCAGCTGACTCTTTATTTGTCAGGGAGACCTTCTGAAATAACAACACAGAAACATGACTAGCCAGGAATCTAAATTCATGGAGGTGAATGGCTTTGAAAACCAGAGGTAATGTCCACAGTCTCATCAGGAACCAATGCCCAGAGAGCACTGACCAGGGCTATGAGCAAATTATTGTTTTTTTTTTTTTTTAAGATTGTATTTATTTATTTGACAGAGAGAGGAGAAAGCGCATGAGTGGGTGGTAGGGGCAGAGAGGAAGGGAGAAGCAGACTCCCCACTGAGCAGGGAGCCCACTGATGTGGGGCTTTGGGGCTTGAACCCAAGACCCTGGGAACGTGACCTGAACCAAAGGCTTAACCAACAGAGCCACCCAAGCGCCCCTGTTTTAAAGAAGCCGGTGTACTAGTTTTAAAGACAGATGAAGGAAAAGGTGGAAAAGCTGTGATTAGAACTGTTCTCTTAGCTAGTGGATGAGTCACGGAGCTCTTCCTCAAGTGCGGTAGTTGCCCCACTGAGTCAGTGGCCCTCCCATCTTAGGTGGGGCAGACTGTAGGTCTGACTGTTGGTTGCTCAAGAAGCCAAGTGCAAGGACCCGAATCTGAATCCATCCCCTCAATCACCCGACATGCTCTGCTCCATTTTCACTGGGGTGTCCTTGGGCCTGGGGCTAAGAGGTGGAGCATCCTCTCTGCACCAGGGACAACCTAGTCCTGCACCTGAAACACTCAATACATTTAATCATTTCCCTGTCTCTCTCTCAAACTTAAGATCCTCTAGGTTAAGAACTGTGAATTAGGGATCCCTGGTTTGGCGCCTGCCTTTGGCTCAGGGCGCGATCCTGGAGACCCGGGATCGAATCCCACATCGGGCTTCCGGTGCATGGAGCCTGCTTCTCCCTCTGCCTGTGTCTCTGCCTCTCTCTCTCTCTCTGTGACTATCATAAATAAATAAAAATTAAAAAAAAAAAAAAAAAAAGAACTGTGAATTATTCTGTTCTATGAACCACAAAATAAGAATTTGCTAAGTGAGTGAATGAATAAATCAGATAAGCCCTTTGGCAGGACCTGCTGAAGTGCAGGTGTGGCTATCCAGGTCTGGACTGAAAACCTTGTAGTTCAGAGCTCAGCAGAAGGATGTGAAGCTGGAAGAGCTGGGGAAGAGGCCCACAGGGGGTGCCTGTGAGTAGAACAGAGGATACAGAAGAAGGCACATTTCATGGGTGCCGGAAAAAAAATGTGTCCTGCTAAACAGGTCTGGCCAGCCCCTGAACATGACTTTTCTTTCTCTTCTCACTCTTGCTGTTTTCTTGTGTTTGGATTCTCACTATGAGCTGAACAGGCTGTTAACTACCTCATCATTCTCATATTTTTCATTGAGTCATTTTATTCTGATGTCTGTGTATCCTCCCTGTTTCCCAGGGTGAGAGGTTTTTAAGGTGGAGGCTCAGAACTCTGTAGTGTTCTCTGTGTAGTTTTCTCTATAGAGAAGAATTCTGGACTTCACAAATTTAGTTACAGTGGTGGGAATTAAATTTTCCATCTGGTCTTCCTGCACTGGGCACCTGCTGTGCACGGCCTGATGTTAGGCAGGCAAGCACACACACACACACAAACACACACACACACACACACGTGTGTGCGTGGGTGTCTCTCCCTCTCCATGGTGCCTGTCTTTGGGGAGTTCATTCTAGTTAATTGTGTTTCTGATTCTTTCCCCACTAGGTTGTGGGTTCCTTGAGCAGCCTGCCCTCCCACAGCCTGCTGAATAAATTGGTAAGAATGAAATTGACAATACTGTACATTTTAATTCTCCTGGTGGTAGTAGGGAGCAGGAGGCCTCCTTAGAAAATTGTCTGCTCCTGAGCAATCCCAAATGTTTGCTCTGGACCCCTGCCCAGATCCAAACTGTAATTTCAAAAAGGACACTTCTAAAGAGCAGGAGGTCTGCTTTACTTTGCTCTTCTGTGTCTTATCCATATCCTAGTTCTCTTACAGCCCACCCAGAAAATAATGGGCAGAGTGTCAGTAAAAACAAACATCTGTTATTTAAAAATGTGTTTGAGGTTTCCTTCCTTTTACTTTGGAGATTTTGAAAAGAAAAAAAAAATTGTTTTAATTGAACACAGAAAGTATTCTTGAATTTGATCCCTAAAGAGATTTCAGAAGAAATGGATCTGGATCCAGGCTGTCTCCCCCACCTTTTCCCAAACATAAAACTTGCTCACTAAAAAAGTAGGCAGCAAAGAAAAAGTTCCAGATGCAATGCAATAGGAAGAATCAGAAGCCTTCTCTACTCCAGTGGAGCACATCCACTTTTCCTTGAAGAGTTGTCAGATGTCAGCCTGAACTGGCAAACATTAGCCATTGTGAAAACAGCGATTTAATCCATTGGTGGGTTGAGAGGTAGTTATTTAGTGAAGGGGTAGAAAGTGCTGAAAATTGTTTAAAATTAAGGAAATTCATTCTTGTTGCTTTTCTTATGCGATTCCTAAATTGTTGAATCCTCAGGAAAATGAAAAGCTTGAAGAAAGATGCCAAAACTTTGTTCCAGCTTTCCGAGCACTCAGAGTGCTAATTTATACATCATAACCCTGAAAAGATTCCATTGTTTTCCTCAACTTTGAAAGACTGGGCTATGTCCAAGGGCGTATCAAGTGGGTAGTGCTCGAAAAGCAAGCCACATTTTTGGAACTCTCATTGGAAACCATGGAGTTTCAATGAGAAAACTCCATGTGTCAGCTCCACCCAGCCCAAGGCCTGACTTCACTGGGGTGGCTGCTGGAGAGGCTGGTCCAAGGCCAGACATGGGAGGGAAAGGCCCATCTGATATTGTTTGCAGGAAAAGCCAGGGAAGAGCATCACCTAGAAATTGGGTGTATTTATGTCCAGCACACCCTGAAGAAAACTTGAAGAACCAAGGACTCTGATGAAGAAAGTATCTTGTGGCTGTCAAGGAAGGCATATGCCATTGAGGAGACATGATTACATAGAAACAGGATAGGAATCTGCGGGGGCAGGGCGGATGAAGAACTTTCACGAGTTATATGAATTCATTTCTGCCCCAGCCTCTGGTAGTATCTTTTGCAATTTGCTGAAACATGTTGGAGGCAAAGATCACTGTCAGGGTGTTTCCAAGCGCCTGGCCTCACCTGAAGGGCATAAAAATCCACTGCGGTAGTTTGAAACTCAAGCTGCAGGAAGGGCAGGGGTGGGGACCTGCAGCAAATGCTAAAAACATCTTAGCGGGAAGAGCTACCTCACAAGCAGAGCAGAGGCAGACTGCCAGAAGGCCGGTCACTCCACAGAGGTGTCTCACCAGGGACCTGCCAATCCAGTTGCTGCCCTCACCCACAGCTCGGTCAAGAAACCTCTCCGGATAGCTGGCCAGTCCTGGTGTGACTCACTTCCTCTTGGAAAATGCCCTCTGAGATGGCACAGTTCCCCTCTTCCTTCGGGGAGTGTTCTGTCCCAACCATCTGCAGAGAGTATCTGGAACCCTTGGGAGCCACACCCGCATGGTCTCAGAGCTGAGTCACAGGGCTGCACTAGGAGAGTCTGGAGCCCTTTGTGAGGCACCAGACCCTGCACGGTGCTCCCAGCTCCCCGGGGTCGGGAAGGGAGGAGGGTGGGCTTACTGTACGTCAGTGTCTGGCCCGGGGCTCTGCTCTGTCTAGTTTATAAACTGCTCAGCTTCCCTCACCAGCCCCACCCACCCAACACAGCAGAGTCCTGGAGGCTAACTGGACAGTTAGCAGTGTCCAGGGCTGCATGAAGCCCCCATGCCTTCAGCTAAGCTCAAGCTGTGACTCGGGACCAACGGACCAACGGACCGCCTCCGTGTCCTTGCCCTGGGCCAGGTTAATCTGGGCTGAGAGGTCTTTCGTCAAGGCTGCTCTTCCCCACTTTATAGTCCCCACTAGTTTAATCAAGAGGCAAGCAGGGAATCCTTTGGGCGGAGAAATCCCTTCCTACATTCATTCCCCCGCGCACCACCGCCCGCTAGCCGAGCTTTACAAAGAGCGCAAACGCACCTGCAGACACGCGACAGGAAGCCCAACCTGAAGCGCGCAGGCGAGGGCCAGAGCAGTGAGCGCCCCCGGACGCACCCGCCAGCCGCCGGCGCGCCCCGCTCGGAGCCCGAGGCCTCGCCCATCTGGACAGAGGTCAGCCTGCAGCCGGGGCGCAGGGAGACGTGCCGGCCAGGACCGCGGGAGGAGCGGGCTTTCGGATGACTGGGGAGCCTCGTGGCTAAGCAGGAAGAAGGGAGGGGGGACAGAGACGGAAAGAGGCCGCGGGGCGCCGACCCCCCGAGCAGCCCGCCGGGACCCGCGCAGGGGCGCCGCCCGCCTCGCCGGGGGCCGGAGCCGGGGTCGGGGGCCGGGGGGCGGGATGGCCACGCGCCGAGCCCGGCAGCCGAGGGGGGCTCCGGGCGCCAGGTCGCGGCGGGGGCGGCCCGGGTGCGGCGGGCGGGACTCACCTTGGCGCGAGGCGCGGCGGGACGCTCGGCTGGCGGGGACCCTCGGCCAGTGAGCGGAGCGCGGCGGGCGGGAGCCTTAGTACGCGCGGGGGAGGGGGGAGGCGGGAGGAGCCTGGGCCGGTGTCCGTGCGCGCTCACCCCACCCCTTCCCCGCCCGCCCTTCCTGTCACCCCCCGCCCCCGCCCCCGCCCCCGCCCACCTCGGCCGGGAGCCCTGCTCCGAACGTCTCCTCCTCCTCGGGGGCCCGCGGATGTTTCCCGACACCCCACCCCGGGCCGTGCCCTTCCCCTCGGGTTGGTTTTGGAGAGAAACGCGCAGGGACCTCGGAGCCCCGTCGTCCTGCGGCGGAGCGGGCGGGCGTGCTGGCTCCACCCGGATGGGGGCGGCCGTTGGGGCCCCGCTGCTCGAGGAATTCATTTCCAGCTGGTGCTGCGGGAGTACTAACTACCGCCCAGGCCTCGGGGTTCTCCGGGGAGGCCCGGGCGCCAGTGCGCAGGGCCCTCCCGGTGGCTGGTGCCCTGGTCGGCCTGTATCCGCCGGCGGCTTCCCCCCCGCGGGGGGGATGGACCCTGCTGTTTGCTCTGTCGGCTCCACACACACCCTTTGTGGCTCAAGGGCTGTACCCCTCCGTGTGTATGCGTTCAGCCTCACTTTTGTAATCCACAAAGACCAAAGTTTCTAAGCCTCTTTTTTTGTCCTCTCATTGGCCTGTTTGGTTCTCCAAGCCCTGAAGGAAAACTTGTTTCCTAGTGAATGCATCGCGTTTCCCTCCTCCTCCCATTTATTTTAACTGGGGTTTAGGGTTAAATGCAAACTACTAGCAGCTGTTGGTGGAATAGGGCCCAGTCCCAAGTGCTGGGTTTTCCTTTGTTCCCAGGGGAGGTCCTGAGAGCAGTGGAGTGAGTGATCCCAAAGGAATGAATAGACTGGGGTAACCCTCCAACTGCCACCACGTGACTAATCTTGGCTCTCGCTAGGAAAACCCAATTTGCACTTCAGCTCTCACTCATAACTGGGTTCCTGCAGCCCTGGTGGTGACTGTTCATGGGAGCAGTTCCTCAAAATCTTGCCATATACTTTCCGAGTTTTTCCCTTTTCCCAGGTCCCAGGTTACAGTGAAGAGTGGAGAAAATCCTGGATCCTTTTAGTCCCAGAGAAGATGCAACTGGTTATCGAATGAGAACACTTGACTTTGTATATGCCTTACTTGATCTCTTCATCTGATCCATAATGCTTTAGAAATGCTTACCGTATGTGGTAGCCACGGGGATTCAGAGTTTCTTCCCTCAAAGAGCTTCAAATCTTGTCGGAAGGAGCACCTGGAAGGCTCAGTGGGTTAAGCGTCTGCCCTCCACCTCAGGTCATGATCCCTGGTCCTGGTATCAAGCCCTGCATGGGGCTCCCTGCTCATGGGAGAGCGTGCTTCTCCCTCTCTTTCTGCCTCTCCTCCCCTGTGTCCTCTCTCAAATAAATAAAATAAATAAATAAATAATAATAAATAAATACAAACAAACAAATAAATAAATAAATAAAATCTTAAAAAAAATCTTGTTGGAAGATACGTAGGCAAACAAAATCCAGTGGTCCTGGGGTGGGTGGCTCAGTTGGTTAAGTGGCTGCCTTGGGCTCAGGTCATGATCTCAGGTCATGATTTCAGGGTCCTGGGATTGACCCCTGGAGGTTTCTGCTCAGCAGGGAGCCTGCTTCTCCCTCTCCTGCTGTTTCTCCTGCTTGTGTGCACTCTCTCTCTCTGTCAAATAAATAAAATCTTAAAAATCCAGTGCCCCCAGTGAATGGTGTAGGACCCTAGGGGATACTTTGAGACTGTTGACTCTTGGAGTGGTCACAGAGCAATTCCTAGAGAAAGCAACACTTGATAGATGTTTTAAAAGTAACAATGACACTTATTGTAACTTTTAAATCTGATTATAAAAAAGGTTACATTCTTGTCATAGGTTTGGAAAATATACCAATGTATGAGAAAGAAAACAGTTATTTGTAAAAGATAAACACTTTTATGTTTTCTAGTCTTTTTGTACATCTAGTCTTTTTATAATGTATAAAAATTGTGTGTGTGTGTGTATACAAATGTATAATTTGAGGATTTGTAGAGAGGGAGGGAGATTTTTAAAAATTGAATCCAGAGGGCATTCTCAAATGATCCCTAAAGCAAATTCAGAAAAAAATGAGTTGAAGCAGTGCAATGGATCTGGATCCAGGCTGTCTCTCCCACCTTTCCCCAAATATAAAATTTGCTCACTAAAAAAGAAGGCAGCAAAGAAAAAGTTCCAGATGCAATGCAATAGGAAGAAAGAACTCAGAAGCCTTCTCTACCCCAGTGGAGCACATCTACTTTTCCTTGAAGAGTTGTCAGCCATCAGTCTGAATTGGCAAACAGTAGCCATTTAATCCATTGGTGGCTATCACCAATTTTCACAATCGCTGTGAAAATAGCGATTTAATCCATTGGTGGGTTGGGAGGTAGTTATTTAGTGAAGGGGTAGGAGGTGCTGAAGATTGTCAAAAATAAGTCATTTTTTTTTGCTTTTGATATGAGATTTTTAAATTGTGATCACACTGATTATAGAATTATATGTTCTATTTTTGTTCATAATATTTTATCTTTTATCTTTTTCTCTTCCTTCCTTCCTTTCTTTCCTATTTTTTTGTCATTAAATATTTATCAAGAACATGGTTATTCATTCACTCATTCTTTTTTCCCTATTCAAACTACACAGTTTCTCTTCTCTCTTCTCCTGGCTGCTGGTGCCAACTCTGAGGCCTCCTATGTCCTAGTAGCTGTGGCACCAAAGATGGAGGGAACCTGGGTTTCTGAAACACTGTTGAGTGCTGAGGATGTGGTGGTGAAAATGGTCAGTAGGATGGCCACTATCTGTGCCTTCGTGTAGGTATTTAGGATTTTGTACTGGTAGGTCCATAATGTCCTAAGTATCTGCCTTGCTTATGATCTCCCTCTAGAAGAGGTGATGCCAGGCAGTTCTTTCTTGAGAAAGTAGTTATGCCTGGTAAACCAAATGCATACAGTGGATCCAGCTCTGTATCCCTAGTGCCAACCAGTCGGATGAAGCAGCAATGCCTGAGCCAGAGCTGCCCAGCAAGGGTGGTAGGGCCAGGGGAAGGGGAGCTGCACAAAAAGGAACAGAATGGCCATGTGGATATCAATAAAAGAAAATCTTGTTTAAAATGAAGTCAGGAAGCCAGCGGGGAGCACTCTCATGCCCTCGCACTCACCAGCTGCAGACCCCACAGGAAGAGAGAACTTGCAGGTAGATACTAAGTTATTACCCAGGCAGGACGGAGGAAGGCTTGCTAGCACAGTCCAGCCAATGAGAGATGGTCTGGGCCCAGCAAATGAAAAGCCACTTGCCCTTCAAATTCCCAGTTAACTTACATGGACTCTACTGTTTCTTTTTTTTTTTTTAAGATTTTATTTATTTATTCATGATAGTCACAGAGAGAGAGAGACAGAGAGGCAGAGACACAGACAGAGGGAGAAGCAGGCTCCATGCAGAGAGCCCGATGCAGGATTCGATCCCGGGTCTCCAGGATCGCGCCCTGGGTCAAAGGCAGGCGCCAAACTGCTGCGCCACCCAGGGATCCCTGACTCTACTGTTTCTAATGGTACCTCTGAACTTCCAGTTTCCTCTATAAAAGAGCGGTCTTTTTTTTGTTCTGACTTGCCTATGTTTGTTTGTTGCAGTTTGTAATTCTCTGCTGTTCCCAAATAAACTCATATTTGCTGGTAAAATAAAAGCCTGGAGCAAAGAGAAGGCAATATTTCAGCTCTCCATCCGGCCTATGGTATGTTCTAGTATACTAAATGCTAGGAGCAGAGGGCATTGTTACACTACTGAGGCAGTAGGGGGTATTGTCCTTCTTTTCAGTGTGGAAACAAAACCTGTTATCTAGTGATTCTTGACTTTTTGGGGTTTGTAGCTGCAGTTCAGAGGGTGGCCTGTTCACCAGAAAGGTGTGTTCTTCCCGTCAGAGTAGAGAGGTATAAGCTGGCTGTGGCTGCTCAGCCAAAATTATGTTCCTAGCACCTCTTTTAAAAAATTATTTATTTATTTATTCATGAGAGACAGAGAGAGAGGCGGAGACCCAGGCAGAGGGAGAAGCAGGCTCCATGCAGGGAGCCCGATGCAGGAGCAATCCTAGGACTCCAGGATCACACCCTGAGCCAAAGGCAGATGCTCAACCACGGAGCCACCCAGGCGTCCCATGTTCCTAGCACCTCCTGCACTTAGGTGAGACTCTGACCAGTCACCAACTGAATGGAATTGGAAGTGATGTATATGAGGTGACTTTACCACATTTTTCTTTCTGTCTTTTAGACTCTTAGTCTTTAGGTTGGAAGAATTACAGCTGGAAGGAGCCTGAGTTACTAAATCACTGAGTGGAGGAAAGCCACCTGCTAATCAGGCACAGCTTCGTTGGAATAGCTATGTGGGTGAGAAAGAAAACTCTGGAATTGTGGGGTTTATTTGTTACAGCATAACCCTGACAAATAGAATGGCATTCTTTTGAGTGCTAGTAAGTTTGACAGCATACTCAGAAAGCTTAAGTTGCACACATAAGAATTACACTATTACGCTTATTGCACTTCAGCGTTGTGGCACTTTGAGAAGAACCAGATTTCCTCCCTGAGACTCTCTTAGATACTCATGAGGCATAGTTCTCGTAGGTCTGGCAAATGGATCCATCTCTTTCTTTTTCTTTTTCTTTTTCTCTTTCTTTCTTTCTTTCTTTCTTTCTTTCTTCTTCTCTCTCTCTCTCTCTCTTTCTTTCTTAAAAAAAATTTTATTTGACAGAGAGAGAGAGAGAGCACAAGTAGACAGAGAGGCAGGCAGAGAAGCAGACTCCCCACTGAGCAGGGAGCCTGGTGTGGGGCTCAGTCCCAGAACCCTGGGATCATGAGCCGAAGGCAGACTCTTTAACCCACTGAGCCACCCGGGGGCCTCACCTTTTTTGTTTCTTCGTGTGTATCAATTTGTGCCTTTGGCACACAGAAACTATGTGCAGCCTAGTTCAACCTTCTGTTTGCCCAGAAATTATGTTACTGGTGTGAATCATAGTTGTAGCAAAAGGACATTTTATCTGTCAATGAGGGAGCCCTAGTAGGGAGTCACCACAGTCCCCTGTAGCACTTCAGTTGAAAACAGTTGCCTAATCAAGGCTAGTTGCTGGCAATCCAGAAAACAAAACAAAACAAACTCCCAAATGTGGCCATACTGGTATACTCTAAACAGAGAAATATAATTTATTAAACCTTTCCCATATTTTTGAAAATTTAGGTTGTTACTTTTTAACTGCCATACATGATAGTGGTATACAATAAGACTAGTTTTGAATAAACGTCTTTGCCCACCTACTTATCTTCCTAGGATAGATTTCTATCAGAAATCCTAAAGGACAAGTAGGGATTAGATTGAGTGGGGGCAGACAGAGGGGAAAGCAGGTGCCAGGGCATGGAACTGGGAAGTAGTCCTTCTATGTCAGGAATTGCCCCAGTCCTGAGAGGAGGTGCCTTTCCTAGGGCACCTGAGATTCTATGCTAAGGAGTTTGGACTTGTTTTTGAAGGTAACAAGGAGCCACTGAAGAATGTTAAAGGGGCTTGAGTGGCTGTCCCACTTACCAGCTGCCAAGCTCTGGGCAGGTCATCACACGACTGTGAACTTGAGTCTCCTTCTTGGTAAAATGGGGATAGACTCGGATCTTCTGGGGTGATGGAAAAAACACACCAGCAAGTGGCCGTGAAGGCACCCAGTAGGCAGCAGGGTCTGCAAAGCAGATCCAGCTTGTGTGTGGTCCCTCTCCGTGAAGCAGAAATTCTAGGGAAGGCCAAGCTGGACTGCTTCATGGCTCAAGGTCTGTGGTGTGTGATTTGTGGGTAAACAACCTTTGAGCAGTCTTCCCTCTAGGGCACCTGAGGGTTCCACAGAGGCTTTACTTGCTGTGCTGACTTATCTCTTGGGGCAGGAAAAGCTCAAGGACTATAGCTTTCCTGTTTTCCTTCCTTCCTTCCTTCCTTCCTTCCTTCCTTCCTTCCTTCCTTCCTTCCTTCCCTGCTTCCTTTTAAGCACATAACTCTTAGCTTGGGGTTGGAAATCACCTATAGGTGAGCTGCAAATTCTAATGATTATAATCTATCAAATATTTACTGAGTAACTTCCAATACTTGGTATGTTCTGGGTACTGTGGTTATGTCAAAACCAAGACAGGCCTTACATTCTAGTGGGAAAGACAAACAAAATACTAGTAAAAGGAAAAACTATAAAAATTGTGGTAAGTTGTAATGAGTGCCATGATGGGAAAACCAAAAGTCTGAATGAGAGAATTGAAGAGGACACGTTTTAGGTAAAAAGTCAGGGAAGAGGACACTGAAGACTTAGAGGAACAGGAGGAAGTATGGTTGCAAAGTGAACAGAGGGTAGGAGGAAGGTCTCCCTTGGAGGAAAAAACAAGTGCAGAGACTGGGAGGTGGCAGGGAAAATTGACAAGCCATCAGCGTGCCTGTAGCATGGTGGGAACAGAGGGGAGGGTGATAGGACATGAAATAGAAGGCAGAAACTCCTATGTCTTAAGATAATGGTTAAGAGCACAGACTTGAGGTGAATCCTATTTTCCGCACCTCTCACTAGCCATGTGATCTTGCATATGTCATCTAATCTTTCCAAATTTTAGTTTTCTCATTTGGAAAAGGGACTTGATTGTAGTCCCTGCCTCATAGGGATGTTGTGACTATAAATGAGGAAATGCATGTAAATGCTTAGCTGAGTGCCTGGCACATAGTTAAGTGTCACACTCATGTTAACCATAATTATTAAGTGGAGGGTGGGTTGGAGCTGGGTGGGCCTGTACTGAATCCTGTCTGCTGCGGGATTGCTTTGTACAATGGGTGGGCAGGGAAGTCTCTATGCCTTTTGTTTTCTCTCTATAAAATTACTCAAATTCCTATCCTGGAGATAATTATTATGGGAATTATAGGAGGTGATTTATGTACAGCCATCCTGATGGTAGGAACCAACTCCTCAAGGTCTTATGATTATTATTATTTTTAAAAAGGTTTTTATTTATTTATTTGAGAGAGAGAGAGAGCGAGCACTTGTGCACACACACACACAAACACACACACACATACACAGAAGTAGACTCCCTGCTGAGCAAGGAGTCCGATACAATCTCGATCCCAGGACCCTGGGATCATGACTGCTTAACAGACTGAGGCATCCCAGGTCTTGTTATTATTTAAAAATATTTTCCAGGATATTCCAGCCTCTTATTAAACTCTCCAAAAGAGATAATCAAACCCTGAATGAAAATCTGTTATAAGTTTATGAACCTGGGGCACCTGGGTGGCACAGTGGGCTAGGCATCTATGTCTTGGTTTTGGCTCACGTGGTGATCTCAGGGTCATCAGATCAAGCCCTGAGTCAGGTGCTGGGCTCAGCACAGTCTCCTTAAGATTCTCTCTCCCTCTCCCTCTGCCCTTCCCCCATTTCTCTCTCTCTCTCTCTCAAATAAATAAAAAATCTTAAAAAGAAAAAAAAAAGCCCATTTGTGAATCCGCTTGTGTTATGGATTGGGGTGGTGAACAAAGAAAAATCTGGGAATGTTAGTTTTCCTTTTCCATTTTTCTCATCACAAGGGACCCTGATTTCCTGGTCTCTTGCAAGGAGGAATAAAAGAAGAGCCTGTACATTGAGTTAAGAAATAGAACACCAGCCTGTCTGAACCCCAAGAATGCTTGGTATTGGGGGTGAACTGCAGGATAAGGCAGTAATGTGCCAGTCTCACATCCAGTTTCTTTTCCTTATTAACACTTGAGAGCAAGTGGTGCTCCAGGCAGAAATTCGGGGGGCTATATGAAAAAAAGTTATTCAAGCCACAGACACTGTGGGTTCATTGGTGATATGTGGCTAGGGAGGGCTCAGATCTGTGGAGCCCTGGTGACTCAAACCCTTCATGAGAAGCTGGCTGCTTGGGGGCCCTTGGATGGCCTAATGGGTTGAGAGTCTGACTCTTGGTTTGGGCTTGGCATCGTGATCTCCGGGTCATGAGATGGAGCCCTGCCTTGGGCTCAGAGCTCAGTGAGGAATCTGCTAAAGCTTTTCTCTCCCTCTCCCTCTGCCCCATCCTGCATTCGCTTTCCAGCTGAGCCTGGGCTCTCTCTCTCAGATAAATACATCAACAAACAAACAAACAAACAGCTGACTGCTTGGTAAAAATTGATGCTTCAGTGGCATCAGCCAGCAGCTGTCTTGAGGCCTCTCAGCCCGAAGCAAGGAGAGGCTGCTGTGAGGCGCCCTCAGGAGTTTGCCCTGGGAGAGGGTGTGTGCTTGCTTCCTAGCTGATGCTGGGGGACCCTCTGGCGGCTGCTGAGTGAGTAGCTCTGCCGTGGTGTTTGCTCTCTGCTGCGTGGCCCCAGTATAATAAGGGGCAGGAAGCCTTGCGCAAGACACCAAGAAGTTTACCCAGCTTGCTTGAGATGGAGGCTGTGATTTAGGTTGGCACCGTGCAGTGTTCACCCATACCTTTCGTAGCATCTCTCAGGGCTTGGGCAGTGGGAACAGTAATTTTCTATGTACAAGATGCAAAAAAACCCCAGGAAAACCAAAAACAAACAAAAAATGAAAGTAAAGATTTAGGTTAAAGTAGTGCTTGGTGCCGTAGGGATCAAAACCTCAATTAGGGCACAGAATTCAACCTGCTTTTATTGGTTGGCTTTTAAGTAAATTCATTCCAACAGTTTTGAATAAGATACACTGAAATCCAGAGTGCTTAGTTCTTGAAGAATGTGCCTCCTGGTAATCAGTAGGGGCATCTCTGAGGTCTATACTGGTCATATTGTAAGAACAGAAATGAATCCAAGTTTTACTTATTAAAAATCGACATAATAATTTTAGTATACAATACTCTTACTTGTTCCATGTGTAGTCACCTCAAGAACTTATTAAAAAAAATACTTTACTCATTTATTCATGGAGAGACACAGGGAGAGAGGCAGAGACACAGGCAGAGGGAGAGGCGGGTGGGGAACCTGATGCAGGACTCAATCCCAAGACCCCGGGATCATTCCCTGAGCCAAAGGCAGATGCTCAATCACTGAGCCACCCAGGCATCCCTCAAGAACTACTTTAGATTGATTAGTGTTATGGTCATAGTAAGTCATTGTGGTTTGTGTATATTATCTCTAGTTTCTCAGACCCCCTGTGTGATAGAAGTTAAGCCTGCTGAGGAGGCACAGAAGCTCAGAGAGATTAAATAATTTACCCAAAGGCATATTATGGTCCTATCAGAACCCACAGAAGCCTCGTCTCAAACCTCTCTCTGCCTTTCTTTGGGTAGCACAACAAGGGCAACTGCTCTGGACTAAATCCAGAATCTAGGCAGGAACATGAGCAGTGTTCTGAGTAGCTCTAACGGAGATCTTGTATGTGGCCAGTGTTACACAAGTGTAGACAGTAAGTCCAGTAGGTTCAGAATAGTAAGCCCCCTTTTGGCTAGGACTCTTACATAGGGTTTGAAGAGGGACTTGAAGGTTGGGGGCTGTCCCCTCTGACAGGCATTGATGTGGCACGGGGAACAGGCACAGAGAGGAGGGCAGTCCAGGGGGCTAATACAAACAGAACCACAGAGAGGGGAACGTCAGGGCACATTTGGAGAAACAGCAAGTGCAGCTGGAAAAGGGCATGGGTGGGGGGAGGGGCTAGGTCAAACTGCAGGCTAAAAGCTTTTTAAAT